CCACAAAAAGAATATGATATGACAAAAGGCCTGGCCTTCCTTGAAATTCACATTTGCCCTGTGACCCAAGTGAACTCGTGGCAGTGTAGCCGAGTCGTTAGCGTGTCAAGCTCCAATCCTTCACTGTCGCGGTTCGACTCCCGCTGAGGGTGTTGAAAAGACCGAAGCGAGGTCGAAGCTGCATTCCACCCTGGATGAGAACAACTTTTGGGAAAGCAAGGCTATGTTAAATTTTATGGAAACGTCCGCTCAACTCATATCATTTTGGGAAAATTCTTCTTCTACCAGTCGTTCATCACCTTAAACAAAATTGGGTGAATACATCTCATATTACTGATTTACTGGTAGTCACGACAACAATACTTAATTAGAAAAATAAAAATATGGTAAACTCATCTCGTGTATCTGATTTAGTGGTAATCTTGAAAATCTACTGGAAGCAAAAAATAAAATTTGTAGTCATTCTAAGTTGCGTGAGGCGATGCTGGCTGATAGTTGATGGCAAAGCTGGCTGAAATTTACTGGCATTGTGAGGCATACTCGTATCATTGAGGAAAAATTCAACTATCAACCATTAATCATCTAATGTGACCTTAAGTGATTACGGCTCTTATGTTGTAAATATAGCTTCAAAAAGCCGGGCAATAGGCATAGCGTAACTTGCTTGTTACACACATTAGCGAAGGATCTGTTTGGTATGAGCGGAACACCGGGTTTTGCCCAGGGAATCAGCAGGCATACGCTTTCGTTTCACTTTGATGCGAGACTTGCTTTTAGAGTCTACAAAGTTGAGTTGTTCTTGAATACTGCCATCTGCAGTAACCTTTTTTCAATGATGAGCTTAACTTTCAACATTTTCTAGGCTCCATCAATGATTCGGACACTGGCAGTATGTGTTCAGCAACAAACTCGTTACTCAAGGCCTTACTGCAACGATTTCAACGACTGTATGCACTTTTACGGCCAGTTGGGTTTTCTCGTGAAACTAATTTTGTTAAAAAGTGATTTCATCTCACTTTTCTTTATGAAAAATGGGTGGAAACTAATAAACTATTTGAAAGTATGAAGACCAAGATGGTGTGGTCTTTTTTTGTGGTCGCAGTCTCCTTCCATTGTATAGAATTTGTTTTACCTTGTTTTCGCAACTTGGTCATATTGGTAGGAAGACTTATAGGAACGCACCTTGTCCTGAG